CTCGTTTTTGCATCAGTTGTGTCTTTAAACAAGGAAGCAGTTTCGTGGTTTTGTCTAATACGTGAATCATGTGTTTCTCAACAAGAAAACAGTTTTAAAGCTGTGGCACATCCGTGCACCACGAGTTTAAATTCAACAAGAAGGTAGTAGTTTGTTTTCTACTCGAGTTTGCATTATGGGACTTATTTTGGCTGATTTTTTCTTGCTAAAATCAACACGCTGTTATTTTTTTATGATATTATTTTGAAACTCCTAGTATATTTTTTTCTTCTTAAAGATTATTAAATATTATTAAAGATTAAAGGTTATCACCTACAGGTAATCGAAGCTTTTCCGACATTTGTATTAAGATACTGCTAAATTAGGGGGGTTTTATGACGGAATGGAGGGTAAATATAAAGCGAAGTTCAAGTGTGGAAATTATGAAGAAAGTGGCAAAATGAGGTCCATTTCACGGAAATGTATAGACCACTTTCATAAATGGCTGCCGGATTAATATTCTTTTGTTTAAATTGAAATTAGCCCTTCTGGCGTCGCTTGAGATAATGTATTCTTTTGAATTTTGAACGGGAGAACGAGGCCAGAAGGGCTAATTTTAATTTAAACAAAAGAATATTAATCCGGCCGCCATTTATAGAAGTGGTCTATGAAAATTGCACTTACGTCGCGACTACGCTCCACTCCTTTCCAGCATGGAGGTTCTTACCACAATCGAATCTAATCGGTAAAAAGAAACGGTGGCAAAAAATCTCCAGTCTCTAGCAAATGGAAGTCGAAGGCGCAGTCAGGTGTGATACGACTTTTAAAAAACTCTCGCCAAACTCTTGCTATTAATTAACCTGGCCATTAGGAGAACTTCTGGAAAACTGACACGGGACAGCCAGAAAGATTACATTACCGAAGAGATTTTACATGGCGGACACCTTACTTAGAGGGTAGGGAAAATGACAGATTGCAGGCAGTGTTCAAGAAATTCTTGTTAAAAAAAAAAAACCTAAGTATAAATTCAAAGATGCCCATAACATTTGCTCTTCGGGTTTTGATTATTTGATTATTTATTATCCTTGCACATAATTCTAAGATACTTTAAAGACAATGATAGATTTAAACCTACGTATGTATCAAGGAAGGTTTCTATTTTAAAATCTTACTTCTTTTTTTCACCATAGCTTAAAAAGCTAAAAGAATTAGGCGATGACTTTTTTGCGATCTGTCCGGACCGTTGACCCAGTCACTCCCATGATCTGAATATCAATTCTCTATACTGTCTGTGTTACATCTCTAATAACTCTATCTCTGAGAATTTGGTGTCAATCAAACAAATTCCCTTGTTGATAGTTTTCTTTCCCCTCATCACATTTACTGCTTGAAAGTGTGTCAATAGTGATGAGTAGAACTTCCTTTCTGATCACTTCTGGGAGCGAAAAGATTAGGCAAGAAGAAGATTGTGCGAAAATAACATTGGTTAACATCGAGTATAAATGTTTTACCATTTTTAGTTTTTCTCGGCTCAAGTCGTTTCTCTATGGTGTACGAAGTGACCAAAGAAAACCACAAAATATTGTTCTGATGAGGGGAGAAAAATCCAATTTTAAGTTGGTAAAACTGAAGCAAAGAGAAGTTGGTACAGTAGTACTCGTAGAAAAACTACGCGATTTTTAAGTAACATTGTTGGAAAATCATAGCTTTGTCTCAAAGATGTACAACCATCTAGTAAACTTGTTTAGTTCGTCGGTATGACTAGACCCTGACAGGATTTGTAACCGTGCCTTGTTTTCTTGACAAAGCATTCCTAGTAGTTCTTGGTATGGCAACCGTACTATAACGGCGTTTTTCGACAATGGTAACTGTACTTAGACGGCGTTTTTCGCTAATGGCAGCGGTGCTGAAGCGACGGCCGATCATCGTCGATCTGTCAGATCTTGTTAACCACGTGATATTTGACGAGCTTCGGCGGCGGCTGTAAGTCCTGGATTTTGGGNAAACTGAGAGGATTTGGTCTCTGGCCGTCAGCGCACATGATCGCTCTGGGTATAATTTGGCGCCAGTGAGTCTGCTATCGATGTAAGGCTTCATTTGTAAATCATTAATGTTTGGCAGACCTACGTGCGTCAGATGATCTGGCTACCCCATCAACAGAACCATATGTATGCTCAGCTTGTAAACATGGCAATGAAAAAAGAGTTAGTTACACAGAGAAAGTCTTACGTAAATTCGATTTCTGGAAATATTTCGTACACGAGAAACTAAAAATCTCGCGATCTTAAAAGTTAATTACAACAGCACAACTTTAGGAGAAGAATTAATGGTGGGTCGAAGAAAGTTCGGCAACCTCACTGGCTATAGATCCAATATATCGACTATTGTAATCAGAGCTTAATGATCATAAAAAAGAAGAACAAGAAGGAAAAATTTTGAAAGAAAATATTATACTGCGAATGGGACTTCTGCAAATTGATAAGAAATTTACTAACGCAGTCCTTATGGACGCCTTAAAAGTACGTTAAAAACAATAGTTGCTAAATGAAACAGAAAAACAGGAAGGCCGATAACTTGCATCTGTCTTTATGAAGAAAACGACTTCAAAAATAACAAATTCATCAAGGAGAAAAATATTTCCCAGGTATAGATTACTTGACAGCCGTGACACACGTCAAAGAAAATAAGCGATGAAACTTTTATCGAAAGGGGTAAACTTTCAAGTGTTCCAACACTGTTTTCTGGCGTTTGTTTGAGAACATGCGGTGACTAAATCTCGTTTTCGAGCTGTTCGATGCAAACTCAACTATGTATTGATAGTTTCCATTTTGCGCAAAAAGTATGTTTGGTATTTTCCGCGAACGAACCTTATTTGTTATGGATGTATGAATATGAAAGTGAGAAACAGCAGATACGTGATTAGTGCGTTTTTGAAGAAGAAAACTAAATCATATGTTCCCTTTAGATAAAAGAAGTTTGGAATGTCTCACAGAAACTAATGAAAAATATTGTAAGATGCAGTTGATTAATAGTCAATGGATCGCTTTACTCTTTCTTAATCATGTTTAATTAGCTGCTTGATAATCAAGTTGAGTTAACCGGGAAATAATCAATGCTTACCTTGATGAATTTTATTCACAGTATTGCCTTACATGAGCTAAAACAGGAACGGATGTGTAGTGTTTGTTCCTATTGGATAAATGCATTAGCCATTACATAATCTTGATTCTATTGTTTAGCACACCCTTAACCGCAGTCACGTGATTGTCCATATATCTATCTTTGTATATTAAGTTCATCAGTATTCTAATGAAGCAGTTGTGTAGAGCACTTGGTCTGTACACGCGCAACTCTATAGTGGTATAACGAACCTTAATACACAACAGGTTACATCTTCTTAAATATCTAATTAATCAGCAGTATTTAGGCTCCGCGGTGCGGATCACACACTCATAACTATGTCAAAGCTTTTCATCAGATACGTAGGTCATATGCTCAAATTACAGTGTTTAGTGAAAAAAAAAAAAACCGAGCCATTAAGAACGGTGTTGTATAACAAGCGTTACTTTCGGTCGAAGTTTTTATCCAGAACGGTTAGGATTAGTGACCAGACAGGACGTGCGCTAACAACACAGGCAGTAAGAAGGACAGATACGTGAAGATCAATCCTGTTGCGTCTCCTTTAGTCTTTGTATTCTCTGGCTGCTGGACTTCTATACCTGTTCCGGTTGTCTGGCAACTGCCTCCCTCACAATCGCGTTTACACTTACTTCCGTTGCAGTCCAACAAACAATTTCCACCAGGACAGGACATAATGCACATGTCTGAGCCCGTCTCACAATGCATCTTACAGTTTCCTTCAGTGCAGGTCTGATGACACTCCTTTGCCTTACATCTCATGTTGGTGCAGTCTTTTTCGCAGACCTGGCTGCAGTTACCTTGGTCAGCAGTGCACTTGAAATGAGCGCATTTGCCTCCCAAGCAATCACTTTTGCAGTTTTTCGCTGTGCACTTGATATCCCAGGCTCCTTTTGCACAGGTTTGTTGACAAATTTCAGAATCGCTGTTCATGCAATCCAAGTTGCAGTTGCCTCCGATGCAGTTACTTTCACACTTTGAAGCTTCGCACTGCATTTTGCAAGGCCCCTTACAACTCTGTGTACAGTCCTTGGTGCCTATAAGACATAAAAATTGAAATTTGTTAAGTTTTAGGTTGTTCCCAGATATCCCTTTCGAATGCACTAAAATCTGAACTATGGGGAGAACTAACAGCAAGTTAAGTTCTACACTAAGTTTGCATGCGACGAGCGGCCTGTTTACTCCCAGGATCAGCAATGTCAAAAGCCACCTCTACTCATTTGTGGCTCTCTTATTTCTTTTCCGTTTTACCATTTTTTTCTTGTTTCTCAGAATTGATATTGCGTAAGTGGCATAAATTGAGGGTTTTATGTCATTCAACAAATCTGCGCAAGTTTCTTTTATATAAAGAGTTACCCAACGATTAAGGACATACCTTTGGAGCACCCCAGCCCACATCTCTCCCCGTCGCAGCTTTGCCCACAGCTTTTAGCCTCACACTTCACATCTGAGCAATTCTCGGCGCAATTTTGGACAACTGTGCCTGCACCGCTGGCGAGTAAAGCACAGTGACCCTTCTCGCAGTGCTGGTTACACTTTGATGTTACAGTGCAGTTCACCAGAGAGCAGTTTCCAAGGCATGTCTGAGTGCAATCGTCGCCGGAACATTCAATTGAATCACACTTTCCTGACAGGCACCGCTGATAGCAGCTGGAAGAGCTGCAGCTGATATTGGAGCAGGGTTCCACAACGCAAACCTGGTCACACTGAGAATAGCCCGCAGTATTCCCGCACTGGAGGTCACACTTTCCTTTCAGGCAGATTTGGGATCGGATCGAATTCGATATCTGTTCGCAGGAACCCACTTGTCCACTGATGAGTTGGAATCCGGCAAACAGGATCAGAATTAGCAATGCTGATTGCGAGCTTATATTCATCGTGCACGAGAAAGGTCAAGACTACTTGATCTGGTAACACAAAAAACAAATGAATTAAAAATCAGTTGTGAGAAAATCGATTCGCACAATATTCGATTTTGCTATCCAAACAAATATGTCGGCCCACTCGCATTTATTCTTCTTTCTGACTTTCTTTCTTTCTTTTTTCTTTCTTTTTTTTTTATCCCTCAAGACCTATCATTTACATAAACTTGTTTACGTACATACACTAAAAGACGAAAAGCAAAGCCTACCGAAATATGATGGACAACCTACTTTGAGATGATTTTTCCTTTTTGTAGTCTTTTAAGATTTTCGCGTGATTTCCCAGAAGCAATCTAAAACAATAATTACCTGATAACCGTGTGATAATTTCACTGCGAAATAATCCCATGAACACGATCGTAGTCAGAAACAATTTTAATTTACAGGAAAGGTCGCTATTCATCTGCTGTCTTCTTGGAAGTCAGATATTGACGAAGTTTATCAAGTACCTATTGTTTAAATTAGCATTATCTGTAAAAACATCATGCGAAATGCTTTAGATAAGCTTGATTGTTTGTTGCCATGATCTGTTCTCGATCTGCAGTGCTCATTTTGATATGGTGCAAAAATGTTTAGGATGAAGGAATTGTTTGATCACTGTTCCCGCGAATATAACAACCTGCTCACAGAAAGTTGTGCAAAGGCCAATGCAGAATATTTGCATAAAGTTGTTTACATACAGACGCCAACGCAGACAGAAAAAAAAGCTAACTTTTCATTTTCAAACTACGGCTGGTGAATTTTCAAACATCGGCACTTTTCAATATCGTAATTTTGTAATTCTCTTCATTGGTCAGATGGACTGTGCATATTCTGCGTTGCAGGTAAAAAAAGGCCGCGGAGTAGAATTCAAAGAATTTTTCGATAGCATGGTTGAGGAGACAAATTTTCTTCGGGACAAAGTTTACAAAGAGCTGGCAGGTTAACATTGATAATAAATCCTACAGTAACGTTTGTTGCTGATGCAGGGTCTGAATAGGGCGTAATATTGAAACACTGCATTGTGAGTTTGCCGGAGATTCAAGTTAAAATCGAAAGAGAAAGTTGCGTCTCTGCAGCTGGCATGACTTGCGTGATGGGTTTCTTAAAAAAAAAGAACTTTTCAAAGCCGGCTTAACGGTTCATCTTTTATCAGAGATGTCTCTTGAATTTAAGTCTTGTCAGTACGACTCTAGTACGCCTGAGAAACAAAATTATCCTCAAAATCTGAACTTTTAGTGCAAAATAAAGCAACTTGAAAGATTTTCCAGTCTTTCTGTCAAGACCACTGGGGCTGTTATTCCTTGCTCAATTAGTCTGATCAGTTTCGCTTTCGAATTCCTGAGAATCTAAGAGCTGCCACGAAAGCACTTTTTAGTTTCACGGGGTATAGTGATGTATATGATCATTTCCCTCTTGAAATCGTATAATTCCCAGAGGAAAACTTGTTTTCCTCTGGGAATTATACGAAGAAAAAGTCTAACAGAAGGAACTGCGTAACGAGGGGATATCCAAAACGATCGCATCGAAAGTGTGCCACCGACACTTAGATTTTATTTAGGGTCCATACTCAACAAGTTCCGCTTAGGTTACGCTCAGTTTAGGCCACTTTACTCGGAGTCATGGTTAGCGGTGTTTGATCTGCTTTGTCTCTCGAAAGTGCATACTTCGCAGTGGAAATAAAAGGTTGCAGTAAAACGCATAGAGATGAATTCGGCAATAAGTGAACTTCGAAGGCATGCGTTTTCGTCGCATTGACCGGCCGCGGTCGTTCATCACTAAACACATTCGGTAATCCGCGCGAGCAAAACCACTACTTATCGCCTTAGTTCCTCTCAGGAATGACAAATGAAGCACAGAAGCAGTGCTAATGTAGGAATACCGTCTCTGATTTGATGGCTAAATACTAAAGTTTGGAGTCAGTCAAATTAATCTATAAGTGCATGCTTCGTCATGGACTACACGGTGAACTACTTTCAGTTTTGATGTTTCGGCTTAATTTTTCAGCTTTATGTTCGCTATGAACTCACCTGTAGTTTTGTCGGTACGGAAACTTAGATCTGTAAAGCTGTACCCTCAAGGAAGCTGCTTAGTACACCGTGCCACCAACTAAGAAAGCTTTCACACTGTACAACAGACTAATATAGGCGCGTAATACCCTTGGATCAGTCACTTATTAAAAGTAGCTCAATGGTTTTGATAGGTTGTTTTTCACTCGAAACAGTTTCCCGGAAAACCAACTTCCGCAATATACTTATAACGCGTAGCTCATCTGCGAAGGGTCTTCGAAAGAACGCTTAAGATCAGTTAAGGTGGCTGGTACCAGTTTTCATCATTTTGATGGTTTGTAACTTTGAAAGAATATAACAAAAAGACTGACCAAGGCCAGTTGAACACTTTCATAGGGTTGAATTATATGATCATTGGTTGAGATACAATGAAATATATGAAGTTCACTCGAAACAATTTCCCGGAAAACCAACTTCCGCAATATACTTACAACGCGTAGCTCATCTGCGAAAGGTCTTCGAAAGAACGCTTAATATCAGTTAAGGTGTCATTCCGTCACTAGAAGTTTTCATGGCAACGCTTTCATAGGCTTATTCATTAACATTACACTTCCGGGAAGATTGATGTCGTGGCCTTCCTTGGTCACGTGTAGGGGGATCCCCGTGACTATAAAGTATGCATATATATCGTTTCCGTGAAGCTGTAATAAACTTGTTAGGACGGGATGTTCAGTTGCCAAGCAGGTTTTGCTACTGATTTTCGAACTGTCACCACTCTATTCTTTCGTTGCGAGTGACGAAAGCTTACAAACTGCAGTTTTACAGTTTCTTTTTGTTTCACTGGGTTCCTCTTGCTAATATTATGATTCTTTTCCTGGAAAAAGCGGAATTTCTTGAATGAATGTCACAGTATGACAAGAAAGAGAAAGAATGATTAGTTTGATACTCATTCAACTTTCCTTATGTTAAAAGGATGAAATAATAAATTATGCCTATCGAAAATCATTTGATTGCCTCGTACAGACGGAATAAAACCAAGCGGAAAAAAACTCACCGCTTTATTTCTGGTGCAGTGTTAAACATAAACTCATTGTGACCTTTTTTTCTGAGAATGTTTACGACATCATCCTGCCGATGACATATTTATCAAAGCAAAGAGCGGAGCAAATGAGGTTGACAGCTGTGCTTTGTTTCTTGGAACAGTTTTACCCTGGCAGATTATAATTATACAATTCCACTCTCAAAAACACCCGCACGAAACTGAACGTAATCGTGTGATATTCGTTATTTTAGGCTGGTTTATGCGAACGTCTGCAGTTCCCTTGCATTGAAATTCAGCGAAAGTGTTAGAGGAATTCTGAGGAAGAGTTTCACAACAAAAGACATTCTGCAAGAGAGGTGAGATTGCACGAAACGACTGAACTAAACGAAGATGGAGACGTGGTCCAACAAGGAAACAATGTTCTTTAATCCAGAAACTGGGAAGCTGTCTCCAGTTAAAACCGACGACAAAGCCGTTGCAGTATCCATGGCTGCTGACGGATTCTTTTTTTACATTACCATCATGAAAGGGTCTGCTGGTCTGTATCATTTGGATCAACTCAGTCAGCTTGTTCAGAGCGTTGTGGCGAATAAGTAGTAAAAGGAACTAAACATGCGTGTATGACTTGTCATCTTGACATAATTGTTATCAGAATGGTACGAATGTGTTTTTAATTTTCAGCGGAGTAGTTTGTACGATTTTAGAGAAAGTGTTGTCTATTGAAATTGTTTCATTTAGGAAACTGTTTACGAGTAAGTAGGGATGACGTACACGTACACGCAGAGTAATCTACGATAAAAAGGCTCATATAGAGCTTCTGAATAATAGCACAGTGTACAGCACCAACACAGTCGATAATTCTAGATAGATATGAGCGTTTGGATTGTTTGTCATTAAAGATCTCGAGCCGCAGAACTGAAGCTTAAGTTAAGTTAAAAGCCGAAGATCTCAAATAAAATCCTGCTCACTAAACTGATGTCAGGTAACTTTTCTAAAATATTAATCAATTTTCAGTTTGTTATTCAATTTGAACGTATTTACTGCCTAGGCTTAGTTGTCGTGATGTCATGATCTATTTTGTAAAATATGAAAGTCAGGGTTGACAATTAATATGCGAAAGCTCTTTTGGAATAAACTCGTTGTAAACATGCACACATTGCCATGAATTCACGAAATTTGTATTATTACATTATTTTTTTACGAGTAATCTTGCGGAAAATTTAGCTTCGATAAATTTCGCAGGCAAAGAATACTTTCAAGACTCAGAATCTTTTGTTGAGGATCCTCAGAAGAAATGAAAATATTTGGGAGACTGTAATCGACTTTCGAAATCTAAAAAAAGGAAAACTTTCTGGTGAACAAACAAGTCAGTATTATTAAGCATGAAAATATCCTTACTTTTAAGTGTTTTCCTGGGAATGCTTGGAAACCTTGTCGCTAAAACTAGAGGGTAATACAGATGAAGTTGGTCGTTGATTGTGTGTTTTCTTGGAATATTTTAACAACTGGATCCTAGGTGAGTGTTTGACATGCAGTTAAACCTACGAATACATTTCTACGAAATGACACGTTCGTCATTGACAATCTGCTCTTTGAAGATTTTTTCATGGAAACCTTATGTTTTGACTAAAATGAAAAAGAGATCAAGGAGAGAAAATCTGAAAAATATGAAATGACACAGGGTAGAACAGTTTTCAAAACTGAGAACTAGTTTATCTCTAGGACTGTCCTGAACAAGAAAGGGGAGGTCAACCGGCAAGTAATGGCGAGATAGCGAGAGCTGACGAGAGGTGCATGGCTGTTCGGTGCTCTAGCGATGACTGCGGCGGGGTGATGTTCTAAATTTGGAGTTCTTTGAGTCTCTTCTTTTTAATAAGATGGCACTGTGATAATGTCTAGGAATGAGGTCACCAATTGTCTGTAATGAAAGT